TTATGTAATGTTATGTAATGTTATGTAATGTTATGTAATGTTATGTATGTATGTATGTATGTATAATTATCTAACTGTGTATTATATGCTATCTGTCTGTAACATATATACATACATACTAGGTACTAGATCGTATGCTTATCATCTTTATCAGCTGCCTCTCTCTCTCGCATCAGTTGCCTGATTGAGCATCTCTCTATCCGCCTGTCGGTCAGTCTGGTGGGGTCTGGTCTCTCTCTCCCTCTCTCTCTCTCTCTTTCTTTCTTCCTTCCATCCTTTTTTCCTGAATCGGACGAGTCGGAATGCGCTAAGGTCCTGACGTACTAGTGCCATGCCTGAGACCTGATCAGTGGAACATGTCAATGAGGTCAATGCTCCATGTGGAAAACAAACCTGAGAGACTGAGAGATGCTGTCTTTCTAAGGATTCCGGCATGGCGGTTACGCTCCACCAGTTCCTTCATGATTCCCAAATCATCTTTCCAATGTCTCATGTTATCTGCTTCTTTTTATTTATTGCAAGTATGGCGCTTTCCTGAAGAAAGGATGGAAGGTCCAGTGGCGCCCCCCTGAGCCACAAGTGTTCTCCACATTGAGTTGAAAGCTTGCAAGTGTCCACTGCGCCTCATCCCCCATGCTGAGTTCCTTGATCGCATCAATCTGTGTTGCCGAGTGGGCAAGGAGTGTTGAAGGCTGCTTCGCACTGACTGGCTTTTGCACACTGAACTCAACTGAGTGCGTTTGCCAAACCATGTGCACGTGATAGTTAGCTTTGTGCATTTGTGCAATGCCTGGCTATTGTCAAAAACCTAACACTTTGCCTTAAGAACAACCCATTGTTCCACAATCCTTGCCAAGAATGTTGATCAGCCAGCTGCCGTAAGCATCGCTGTCCATCGTGTCGAGTTCTTGTCTCTGCCTGGCCCCTAACCCAGTCCAAGAAGGCTTCCTCATGACCTGTAATGAGGACTGGCATGCCTTTTTCACAACTGTGCTCACCACAGCGTGCACATCTGTACAGCGTGCTTGGTTCAGTTCTTGTCACAGCTTCGAGCCGAGCTTTGTAGCATTCTACGGAATTAGAACACTATGTTTGCAAATGACAATCTCATCTATGCGTTTCTTCTTCAAAAACCTCCGTGTGAGGCAAGTCAGGTGTGCCTCACAGCGGAATGCTTAGAAGTAGTGCACTTCTCAAAGCTTGGCGCCCCAAGTGCTGTCCTACAGCCAGTCACGGTGATATCCGTCTGGTCTTAACATGTCTTACTCTATAAATCTATAATGCAATTGGTACCTTTAAAGTCTCCACGTCTTAGCATCTTGAAAGCACGCACCCAGCTTGTGGGCTCATGCCACTAGTAACCCACATTGGTCCAAAGAACTTGCAAAGACCACTCTAAACTGGCATGGTCAATGCGTGCCAAGCAGGACAGCTTGAGGCTGCGCTGTTCGATCTAGGGCTTTAGCGCGTATGAACGGGCAAGTGAGAGCGGAAAGAGGCGAGTGCTCCTCTGTCTTTCCCCCTCGTGATACGCGCAAGCTGGCAGTTGCTGCCAGCATGCTAAAAACCTTCTTGATAGCAACAAGCTGCCAGTTGCGCTTGTGACATCAGTGAGACTGCTGTACGAAACAAGGAAACTTGTGGAACTGCCATGCAGGGCCTTGCTCAGCGTCTTGCAACTTCCTAAGTCAGCGTGATAACGGTGACAAGAACAGGTCTCTGGACTTGGCAAGTTGTAACCACAACGCCTAGGGTGCAAGCAACTCGCATTGAGACCAGCAAAGCCCCTGTGGGCTCGTCTACTAGGCTCCTTCGTCAGATGCTTCACTTGTTAAGATACAGATACCACTGAGGCGGAACATGTCAACATTGTAGTACATGGCCAAGCACATCAAACAAATCCCCAACGCGCAGTGTCCTGAAGTCCCACTCCTGCTGAGTGTCTGGAAGGCAGCAGCAACTCTGCCTCAGCAACAAAGCCAATGCATGCTCTTCAGAGAAGAATCCGCCTTGGAGAAACGAGCGCCCTCATTCGTCTACATGTTGGCTCCAGTGCCAAGTACACTGTTCAATTAATGTGTTTAGACGTTTAGACTTAAGATGAATTAAGAATTATGTCAATCAGGCGGTAGCAAGTGACAAAATATGTTTCTAATATAAGAGACTTGAGAGAGGAGGGGGTGAACGAAAGGTAGCAGGCAATCACAAGTAACCCTGGTAGAAGTCCACGACGGCGTGAACCGGCGCAGGGGGGATTTGATCCAGGGGGGGGGGGGGGCCCCCCCCCCCCGACGAACAGAATCAACTCTTACAGGACCAAATTCAATGCACAATCCCAACTCCTGATTGTAATACATTTTTGCTAAAGCAAGGAGAACTCAGGTAGCTCAAGCTACCTTTCGTGATAAGAGTCCAATAATTAATCACATCAAATTGAATAGTCTGGTCAAGACAAGGCTCTCCGAGAAGTCGTGTGACTCAATGATTCGAGGAGGGTGTCCTGACCTGGGCAAGTGAAGCCACACAAAGAATGTTTTAGGTTCAATCGCCTTTATCTGGTCTTCTACGGCGGGCTTCTTGTCACCAGAAAGTTGGTTCGCCCAAAGTACACTGCCCTGATGTGGATTGATATGGATATGGCATTGCAGCAAGTTGCAGTGGCAAAGAAATGTCAAGAAACTTCATGCGCTGCATCAGCATAGAGAAAATACAAACAAATTGCCTCACCCACCCAATTTCAACAAGTGACCGTCCAACTCTGAAGGACACGTGCATCTTTGGACATCGGCATGCATCTTCTGCCTAAGGCATCTCGGCCCCTTCCACTTGGATGCAAGTCCACATGTGTCCCATTCTGCCTAGTAGGCACGGGTAGGTAGAATGAAGAGTCCATGTGAGTCCATGTCCTAATGGGCAAACCAAGGAGGCTTTTTCATAGAGGCTTCGAGTGGGTAGTTTGTCACTCAATGTTTCCTTCCGCATGTTCAAAGCATAAGATTGGGTATCAAAGGAGTGCCGGAACTGGGTAAAGTCCTTTTCACCTTTTCCCGGCGGCTTGCTCTTCGCTCCCGCCTGGCCTCACACTTTAGCACCACACTGCCTTTGCCCTTGGCTTTCTTGAAACCTCCACCACGCTTGTTGTTGATCACGACCTACCCGCAAGGAAGACATAAAGCTAAGCTAGCCAGCTCTTTTTTCTATTGACTGGTTCTTCCTGCAACTTGGTGAACTCCAAAGACTTGGAGTCAATAAAAAGGTAGTACCAATGCAGTCTTCTTGCGGAACCTCTTGGTTGGCTGACGTTTCAATTCGAGACTCTAAACCGAAAGCAGAAGCTTCATTCCTTTTGGTCTCGCTCACGCCCCATCTCACTTCCCACCTTCAAATAACTTCAAACAACTACCACCAAAATCTACACACTGCGTGACTGCGTGTCTTTCTATTCCGTGCAGGGTGCGTCCAGGTCATGCCTCCCAAGTCATGCCTCAACCTCCGTCCTCCCTCGTCTTCTTCAGAAAGGCACGACTTCCAAACATGCTCCACACCAAATGTTTCTATAGTTTCCAAAGACGTTTCAGGCACAACTCTTTGTCAAGTGCGCGTGGCTTCTCCTTTTCTCTCTGAATTGGGCACTAGTCATCAGCACAAACAACTTGGCTCACCCTCCCAGGCACCTTCGGGTGCAGAAATGCCTGCGAAAGCCAAGACCGACCATGGCAATTCAGAATGCAAAAGAAAAGAACCAGGGAATCAAATACAACCACATGAAACATGCGTTAACATGCCGCACAACCGCACAAAAGCGCAGTTGCCAACTCCCTCCCCTCAGGAAGCAATCCAATCCAGTCTCAATCTTCGAGGCACTCTCCACAAGGCTGCAAAACACGATATGCTGCAGTACAAAACTGGTTAAAGCGCTCCTTTGACCATCAAATGCCCGTGAAAAAGCCATTACATTGCGGACTTTCTCACTAGTCACTAGAGCGCCAAGCTTCTTCTTCGGTATGCCAGTTTATTGTCATTGTTTTGACAGGGTGCCTTGAAGGGCGTGCTGCCAACGTTCGGAATGTCCAACCTGCGGGTTCTGTGTTTCTGTTCATATCACAATACCCGATACACTCCAGAACAATATATAGACAACCAAATAAGAGCGATGAATCTGAAGCTGAAGCTCAAATTAAGCTGGCAACGTAAAAGTGCTGGATACGAGGCGGACCTTAGCTTGTTGAGCCCAAAGCTTCCTTTGTGTCCTGCCTCTGGGCCAATCCACAAAGCATGCAGCAATTTGAGAAATGAACTGTCGTAGCATAGAGCCTTAGCATGTGTGCAGCTGCACAAATCCGCCACGACTCTGCCCCTAAAACAGTCTTTTGATGTCATGTCCATTCTAACATATTAAAGTATATAGTGTTTCCTATATATATATACTTTTTGCTTGATGTCCATTTTGATCATTGTGTATTGTTCCGCGTGCAAAGCCTTTCATCATGGGAAGTACGAAGCCAGCCCGAGACTTCCGTCTGAGCCCAGAACTGCCGACTATCCACTGACCAATGTACCTACCCCAGCTTTGGCGTGGTTCAACCACGTTAGTTTCAGCCAGACTGAAACTGCGAGTCATCACATGCCATCATGGAAGAAAACATGGGAAAGCCATGGAAAACTCATGTAAACTTCTGCGGTCTTTGAAGAAAGTGCACTACATATGATCTAAGGATATCACGTCCCAGCGGCCTTTGTCAAGTGCCTCCCGAGATCTTGCGAGATCCGCGCAGTCAAATCATCCAACGCATTAATGCCAGGAGCTACTAGTAGCGTCCTTGCTCCCAGTAGCGATGCCCTTCGTTACTAGTAGCGATGCCCTTGTTAGTAGCTTCCTGTTCCTGCTACTACTACTACTACTACTACTATTACTACTACTACTACTAGTACTAGTAATGCGGCCGATTAGGGGAACATGACGTCACTATGAGGCCTAATGACTACTGGACGCTGGATAGCTTAAGCTCAGCCGTGGGGAGCTTCCTTGAAGAAGTGCTCGCACTACTGTATTCACTATTCATGGGGTTCCTAGATCAAAAAGTGTTCAGTTCTTGGCCTGGCACAAGAGATGTCCTGGCTGTAGGTCGTTGGCAGGCAGATTGGGGCCAGCCACTGCAATGTCAAGGGGCACCTGCGATCTCTCACCGAGGCTCTGAGGCGCAGGTTGCATCAACAGCACGTTCAAGTCATGTATATATATATATATATACAGTATATTTGTTATGATATATTGCTCAGATCATGGTAAATTATGTATTTGTGCGCATTTCATGTCTCTCTGGTATAAAATGGTATAAATATAGACGTATATAATTCCTTGAAAACGACTCATCCTTTTCTTGCCTCGGGAGATGGAGGTTCCGCAAGCATCGGTGCTGGCATCACGGGCGGTGCTGGGAGCCACACGGGTGCACCTCCTGCCACGGGCATTGGCACTAAGGGCGGCGTTGCCCCTGGCCCCAGCATCTCCTCCAAACTAATCTGTGTTCGCGGCCGTGGCTGTGAGGATTCAGAGGTTGGGCTCAGGTCTATTACGCACGGCAGGGGCGATGGGACAAATGCTGGGGCCGCAGCAGAAAGCGGTTTGGGTAGATCAGGCAGATCTTCGAAGCAGTCAGGTGTCACAAAGTATTCCAAAGGCAAAGGTGGAGGCGGTGTCTCTTCAGCATCATCTGCTGCGGTGGAGTCTTCTGAATGCTCAGTCTCTGAGACAAACTTTCTGGTGCAGAGTCCTTCGAGACCAGGCGGTGGATCCGTTTGCGCCTTCTCTAGGGGCAATGGCTTCGGCGCCGGGAAGTCAAGAAAGGTGTTCCGCTCACAAAGGTCATACCGGCCCTCCATGAACTCCGGCAACTCGCCTTGGAACCCCAAATTGCAATCATAGCATGAGCAAAGCTATGAATGACAAAAAAAAACTACGGCAAACCCACATACACACACAGAAAGCAGTGCCGTCCAGTCACTAGGCACCACGTCAACCATCCTAGCCCTACACACTGTTTCATGCACTGTCACTGTCCCATGTCTGCGGACGGTTCAACATCTTCGGCTTCAAGTATTGTAAGGAACAAATAGCAACAATGCATTCAATTCAGCTGATTCAGAGAATGAGACGTGCTCAAACCATGGAGCAAGTCATGCTGGCTTTTTCGAACGCTGGAGGGCGACTCACACGGAGACGCTGAGAATGCAGTCGAATTTTGGCCTTCGAGTCAGCAACCACTACACAGTAGTCGGCGTGCTATGCCATGATATGCCAATGTCAATCCGTGGCAAGCACACGCCGCTACAGCCATATGTGCGTTCAGCAGCTGACCCCAGGCCGAGTGCGCGAAGCAAGCTGACAAATAGAGCATCATTGTGCAGAATTAACCTCTGCATGCAATGGCTGAAGCACGAGGAAGCGATTTCGTTAAAACTGTCAAAGCACAAGTTCTCTTGTCTGCGAGCGGATCTGCATGACTTGGTTTCTCATGTTTGTCCATGTTTGTCCTAAATCGTCTTGGTGCATAATATAACATCACATCACATATACATCACATCACAGAACACACACACACACATATACATATATATATGTACACCGCGAAAAAAGTAAGAGGCGCAACTCCAATCATGCGGAGAGCGCCATCTACCCTACCCACACGTCAAATTCAGACCACTGCCAAAAATCGCGGTTATGGATCCGTGACTGATGAGATCTTGAAACATTGCGCCATCTACTTGCATTGCCAGTCACTAGACAAATGCTAATGCTACTGTAAGTTCATGATTCTTTGCAAAGATGAGGCCATTCCATGATATGCACTCTTGCCCCTCTAAAAAGTATTGAGCCATCTACTCCCTCATGATTTAGCTTTGCAGACGATGGGTGAACGAATACTAAAAAAGCACGAAACCTGACAAAAACCACCTGTTTTTTCCCAAATTCAACCTTAAGACAAAAAAATCGGGACGGCTCGATTCCAACAATCGCCTTTGATCGAGTCTACTCGTGCCGTTTTTGCTTGGCATCCCTTGTGTGGAGTAGATGGCGCAACTCAAGGAGCGTACAATGCCAAGTAGATGGCGCAACTCAAAAACCCTGTGCCTTTTACTTTTTTCGTGGAGTATAATATGTTGTGTATATATCATGTCCACGCGCTCGTATGTGTGTGTGTGTGAATGGTGTGGGGTTTGTTTGGTGTCAAGCAGGCTTGGTGCTCTCAGCTTGTGTGGGATGCGCCAAATGAAAAGCTGCACATCGAGCACGCGCTTTCAGCGCTGTACCGCTGCAGCTACGGCCAGGACGGCGCACTGAAGGACCGAAGAATGCGAGAAGAAAACACATCGGAAGGAAGCAGCTGGACGCATTCCTTCAAGCACTGGCCTGCACCACTCCCCCCTTGCATTCGAGGGGAAATGATGCGGCAAAGGAACTGGCAAGATCCGGGGCGAAATTCGGCATCTTTAAAGGACTGCAGTCCTTTGCACAACTTTATGAAAACCGAAACGCTGGCGAATCCTTCAGTTTGTTGATTGCTTCAATGGTTGCAGCGACCTTGGGTTTCAACTTTCAAGCCCTGCAAGAGATACCTGCCCTCTGTTTTTGTCCTCACTTCTACATTGCATGCCGCAAATGAGACATTTGTGGTCTTGGGTGCAGGCACTGAATGTGTCCGCATTTGGGTTCGGTCTGTAGTTGCCCTCTGTAACAGCTTGGACAATGCCTGTCGGACTTCGGACGTCCAGATCAGGAGAGAATGGTTTTTCTGAAAAAGCCGCAAGTTTGGCAAGGCCTTTGCTTTCCAATCGCTGTGCCTGGGCCTACCTCGTCACCCTGCCTGCTTGCCGATCTGCCATGTGGCCCAGCTGCTCAAGGCCTACGCGAACAGCAAGTTAACAGCATACTTTGATATATTTTACATCAAAAAGTCCGCACACTTACAGTAATTTGCATGTTGCCTCTTACCACCAAGCCCAACACACTAGAATGGATACCAGCACCCCCCCCAAAAAAAAACAAAAGCAAAACAGAACCTACTGTGGACGTCAAAGGAACTCAAAGGAACGATTCTCATACCGGAATCCATATGATCCTTGAGCTTTACAGACCCAAATTCAGCGACCGCCAAGTTCCGCAGCCTTTGTAGCTTGGATCCAGGCGCATGTCCTCACACTCAAGCGGCTGGGGCAGCTCAAGTTGTGATCCACAAGAAGGCATCAGGATGAACATGGAACTGTCCAAAAGGAAGTAGAGGGCGCAGTCGCTAAAGGAATTGCAGTTCTTCCGCAAGAGGTCGTAGGAACCTGCACAGAACGTCGTTTGATAAGGAGCGGGCAAGCCATGCAAGCTTTGTTTACATTTATCAGCGTGTGTGTGTGTGTGTGTGTGCGTGTGTGTGTGTGTGTGTGTGTGTGTCTGTGTCTGTCTGCCTGTGTCTCCCTCCCTCCCTCCCGAAGTGAAAACGAGCGTGGAGGCCTCTCTTGAAGAATCCCGTCAGATGCTTCTGCATGACGTCACCAGACAGGCTGGTGAGACCAACATAGACCACCTGAATTCAGGTGCGCATGACAGCCTCAAATGTGGCCAAACCTTTTTCCCACCAAAGCCATGCCTCTGGTGTGTCTGGCAATCGCATGTGGCTGGGCAAGCCACGTTGAACCACAATCCCTTCCTGTTGAAGGCGGCACACCAAAGTATCATGAAGTTCCCTTCTAGCAATGCAGCACGCTCTTGTTGGTAAGCACGATACGCCACTGAAGGAGTACTCCATGTCATCCACTTTGACCGATGTATGATACGCCTGCTCTCTCGCTGGAACACAGTCAAGGCAAATGAAACGGTTAACTGGTTAACCATACTGTACCCAATCAACTCACAAACTGCTGGCCTGGAAGCCTGGAAAGCCGGGTCCTAATTTTGTGGCCTCGTCTCAGACTCGTTTGCCGCTGTTGTGAGGGTATGCATGAAGCACCCATCCAACTGCAATCACCCCTAAGGAAGAGGCAGCCAATTCAACTTTGTGTCCTGCAGTGTAGAGGGTTTGCAAGGCAGCGCACCTGCGAACGAAGCCTCTTGGAAAGCACTGGTTGCACGATGCCCTCGTGATAACCATCGGGGCCTTAACAATGCCTTCTGATCCGTTCCAGCTTTTTGCGCACAGCGAGCAGCGAGCAATCAATTTAAAGGGAAACCAGGCAGAACGCTCCGGAGTCGGATGCTTGCCTGCCTTCCCCGAGCTTGCTTCGATCCTATGACCCTTCTCAGCGTTTGGAGTTTATCTGGCTTCCGCTGCTCTCTTTGCGGTAGTCGATGCATGTGGCACACCTACCTCGGCTGTGGAAATCAAAGCCTGCTTGAAACTTCGTTCTTTCTTTCTTTCTTTCGTTCTTTCTTTCTCTCTGTCACTCTGTCTGGTCTGGTCTGGTCTGGTCTGGTCTGGTCTGGTCTGGTCTGGTCACTGGTCTGGTCTGGTCTGGTCTGGTCTGGTCTGGTCTGGTCTGTGCGTGTGTGTGTGTGTGTGTGTGTGTGTGTCTGTCTGTCTGTCTCTTTCTCCCTCTCTCTCTTTCTCTCTTCTAGCTGTGCAGCTTATTGACAAGTAGACGTGGTAGTTTCCTAGGTGTCTCATCGGGCGGTCGGCCTGCAAGAATGAATGCACCCTACTGACTGCTGTCAAGGGTCAGTGACCTTTCGTCCGCCCACACCATCCCAGCCTTGGGTTGGGGCAACATGGAACAACTTGACTCTTTCATGCAATACGTCACATACATCTTCAACGGAAGCTTGAAAAACAACTCTCCGTAGGCAGTGTTCGTTGCATCGCGGGCAGGCCACGCACTGCAGCAAGGGGTGACACTCAAGCGGTCGCATTCCACCACTTCGTCGTCAGGGAGTAATGGGACCCGGCTGCCGCACTTGAAATCAGGCCTTCAGATCAATTAGTAAGTACAAAAAATTGGGTCTGCCCTACGTCTCCCTCTTGTTTCGAAAAGCAGATTGTTCGTGGAGCACAACTGAAAACGCGGCCTGAAGCGCTTGAAGGTCTTGGTTGCCTGCCAGGCAGGATGAAATCACAAGGGCAGCCACCTTTAACTAATTATATAGCAAGCTCAAATGCCATTGAAGCTTTCGCTTTGCCTCATTGTAACCAATAAGCTTTCCTAGGGCAGTGTTGCGGCATCAAGAATAAGATATCCCATAATTTGAGAATGGCAAAGCTTGTGGCTTCTGTGGGGCCCAAATCTACATTTCTGCAAGGATCTTTGTTCCTCTTCCTCCAACTTCTGTTGCTCCTCAGATGCAGGCTCCGCAGCGGCGTCCTTGCAAAAGCAACTTGGCAGAGCTTGAGGGGAGAGTCATGTTCAACAACTGCATGAAGGGCTATACGGACTAAAGGGGTGCAAGTCGTAAGATGTAATAAGACATCTTACAAGTGTAGTGACTTGCGCCAAGAGCTTCCACTTGTCAAGCCGATACTGTCCTGTTCCTCATTGTCCAGGTCATCAGGCTGTTGCACCTCCGCGGCCTCAACAAGGAACGGGCAGTGTCTGGCACTATGTCACTACGCGTCTGACACAAAAGTTTCAAATCTGTTTACTGTAAAACTCTTTGAGCTCATTTCTTGTCCAAGATTGTCCTATACACACTCATCTTCAACAGCGCCTCATCAGGTGCAGGCGGCGATGCCTCTTGCGTCGGTGGCGGTGGCCCACCCCCACGTTGCGCAACGGCACGGGTGGCACGGCGCAGCACAGTGGCCTTGCAGCGCAGGCAACATACATCAGGGGGAACTGTGATGCGTTCCTTGCTACTAGGAACAAGGGCATCGCTACTAGGAACAAGTGCATCGCTACTAGGAACAAGGGCATCGCTAAGTCAAAGCGACTTTCAGAACCGCAGCAATAGAGATTGATAAAGGCATATAAAAGCCCTTTAAGCTTCAGCTAGAGTTCAGCCAGAGTTGGTGCTTTTCCAGATTCAAGGTGCAACCTAGTGCAAAGGGGCATGCATGCATCAAAAACCCGCATGCCTCATCTTGTTTCTTCCTGGCACGGGAGAGCAAACTGGCTTGCTTTCATCTGTTGATGGACTTTCAACCACACCAACTGAACCAACTCGTGTCGAAAGAGTCCTGAGATCCAAGTGAGCCTGCCGCAGCTCCATCAGTGCCTGCTCTGCAGTTTGCACCTGCGTTCTCCAGGAATACTGTCCACCAAACTGCACATGGGTCAAGTATCTGAGGCAAACGCTCTCGTAGACATATTCCTGATGGTGAGAGAAGAGGGTCAAAGCCAAACATCTTCAGGCTGGCGGAATATATCGTAATATAGCTACTCAATGCTACTCGCCAGCCACACAATCCAAAGTTCTGTGGGTATATAGATGCATATTGCAACCTCGACGTCTACTATCTGAAGTCCGCTCATTGTCGAGCTATAAACATGCCACGAGTAACAAGTGCATCACTACTAGGAAAAAGGGCACTGCTACTAGGAACAAGGGCATCGCTACTAGGAACAAGGGCATCGCTCCTAGGAACAAGGGCATCGCTACTAGGAACAAGGGCATCGCTACTAGGAACAAGGGCATCGCTACTAGGAACCAGGGCATCGCTACTAGGAACAAGGGCATCGCT